TCATTTGAGTGCAGATACCAACCATTGTTCAATCATCTGTAATATGTGAAATCTGGATGTGCATATTGGTCCTGTTCACCAGATGCCACTGGTTTCCTCTGATTGGTTTTGAATTTATGGTCTTCTTCCAGCTTCTGTACCTCTGAACTTTTTGGGTGCTCTTTGTGCTGTCACCCTGATGAACAATTCCTGGTGATCCAACTCACTTGTTGACCCAGAGTCGACCAATGGGCTCCATGGTTTCTAGCTCCATTGATTCCATTCCACGACTTGTTTTTCTTAGTGACTTAACTAAATTGTTCGATATTTGCACTATGTGCATAAAGATATCAAGTTAGAAAAGCTCAAAGGACCATTGGATATAAAGTCACTGGCACTTGGTTTGGGCGTGTTGGGAAGTGAGGAGTGAAGGTGCAACTGAGAAAGAGGGAAGGCCAGGAAAGGAGTAGGCTGGGAGCACAAGGAGAATCTGCATTTTCAAGAAAGTATGCCTAGAGACTCTCCTGTGATTATTTCCTGATTTGCGATCACATTCCAATAAGAAAGTGTTTGAGTCTTCTATTTATGGGTGTGGCTTTTATATACCTGACTTGATCCACAATTTTAAGAGTATAGGTCTGGAAGCTAGAAAGAAAACATAGAGTCTTTAGCAGAAAGGATGCCCTGCCATGTGGAGAGGAGGGTAAGAAGAGAGAATGGTGAGGACAGTGGGGAGGTTGGAGGTGAGAGCTGCCGGGGGTCTGGTCAAGTCCCTTGGTGGGAGAGTCAGGTGCCCAGTGCCCAGGCACAATGTGGCAGAAAGAGCCTGAGGAGATGACACGGAAATCAGGATAAAACTCTAGAGAAAAATACATAGAAGTAGATAGTTTTAAAGGGGAAATAATAGAGAGTTAGAGAATAGGAATTTCTCTAATAATAGAGAAAAGAATGGTGATAATGTGCTTTTTAAAAAATCAGCCAATGGAAGGCTTTCCCCCGCATCCCTAATTCCCTATTTGAGTGTGACACCCAGACTCAAATCTGACTAACAAAAAACACTACATAATAAAAGCATGATTTATCATTCTTAAACTTTCTGAGATCAGTCTGATTTTAGACACTCAGTCCCATTGTTGGACACTATGCTGTTTGAAGTTAGGAAGTCACTCTGCCTTCATACAAATGTCCTCAGCCACATGGTGTATAAAGCCTTTTGTATGTGAACTATAAGTGTCCCAGTGCATGGATTTGTACACATTGAAAGGAAATTAATTAGAAAGTGGCTGGTGGGATGGGACCCCTCGGGGGATGTCAGAGAGCCAGTTTCAGTCCAAGCCCCTCAGGCCAAGGCAAGGGACCCCACCGGCCAGAGGGATCCGGCTCACTCTGCAGACGCCCTTCAACCACGGGAGGTTGGCTCCAGGGTATGTCCAGCCCCTCTAGCCCAGAAATTGGGCTCCCTTTTCTCTGGTTCAGAGTGTGTCACCTGAGAACTGCCACTGCCAAGTCACTGCAGCTTGGCAGCTCCTGCATTGAGCGTACTGGCTCTTTCCTAGTGGTCAGTGTATGTCATAGCTACTGGTCGAAGCAGCTGCCCCCTGGTGGTCATTGTATGTCATAGCTACTGGTTGGCCAATCAGATGGTCGCTAAGCCTTTTATTTATATATATATATATAGTATACACAGGTAAGAACTCTTCTTGTGACCTTGCTTGTGGTCCTGGGTTTTCTTTCTTGTTTAATAACTTTATGACTTATTTTATCATTTGAGCCAGAAACCTGAGAAAATTCTGTTATTTCTAGACTCAACAGTTTAAAAGAATAGATATTTACTATTTCACAGTTCTCAGGAATCCAGGGGCAGCCTAGCTGGGTGGTTGTGGCCCAGTATCTCTTACAAGGTTGCATTCTGCTGGGGTGCAAGCATTTCAAGGCTTGACCAGAGCTGGATGGTCCTCTTCCAAACTCACAGGCCAGGCTGTTGCCAGCCTGCACATCCTTGCTGACTGTGGGTGAAGGTCTCCGTTGCTACCACATGGGCCCTCCATAGGCTCCCAGTGTGTCCTCCTTCCATGGCAGCTGGATTTCCCCCAGAGTCAGTGATGAAGAGAATGAGAGACAGAGGGAAAAGAGCCACTACAATGGAAGTCACAGATTTTCAAATAACCTAATCTCACAAGTGATACAGACTAACCCTCGTACAGCGTGTGAAGGGACTACACAGGGATGTGAATGTAGGAGGTAGGGGCCATTGGGGACCAACTTGGAAGCTGGCTTCCTCAGAGAGGCCTCTCTTTCCTTTTCCCTCTCCTTCAGCAAATCGCCAAGTCCTTCTGATTCCTCCTCTGCGGTGTTTCTCAGATATGACCTCATCTTAAAGTTGATTGCTTATTCTGGGAAGAGCTGTGGAAGCTGATGGGGAAGTCTTGGGGACCCTATGCCTAAGGACACAGGTGAAATGCATATTAATATGTTAGCATGGCCTCCAACCCAACTTTGTAGGGAAAGGAAAATAAACCTCTTGGCAAGCTAATACTTTGGGGAGGATTTGTTCCCTCTACAGAGAAGGGGAGACCTGTAGCATCAGTCATCCTAGGGAAATACGGTGCTGAGCACAAGAGAGTGTAGATACTTTTAGACTTAGCCTGAGCACCCTAGGATGTAAGACCATAATAAGGACAACTCCCCCTTTGCATGAGGCAGAAAAAGCTGTAGGAGAGCAGTAAGCAAGGGCCCTTCCATTTCCCTGTGAGCATCATTAGTAAGTTTAACTCCACACGTCTACTTAGATTGGAAGTGGCTTCTGATAGCTCTTGAACTGAGAAAAACTGTGGGGTCCATTCTGCTTCAGTGAGAAAGCAAGCCTTGATCTCCAGGTCTGCCATTGTCTGAGGAGGCACGAGTCATGCCTACTATTTGGCTACTGGGAATACACCTTGTTTCCACTGACAACACTCACTTTTCCTTTTTGGGACCTTCTCTAAGATGGGCTTTTGTGGGGGTGGGGGTGGGGGAATAAAACACCTAATAGGTGGAATTATTAAAATAGGCATGCTTGACCCAACCGAGCTGAGTTATTTGAGCTACTATAGCATACCTCTCACCACATACCCACCACCACCAGCTCTGCCTGGGAGGAGACCGCTCTGGCGGGCTTCCTCAGACAGCCTGAGGTGGGACAGCTAACTAAGGCTTGTTGAAACTGATGGGAGATTCTGGGTCTTCCATGAAATTTTGTTCTTGAATATATAAACTTGGAATACAAAATCATAGACTTATGGTCCAGAATAGAAGTCATCAACCTGTGTCCCATCCCCACTTTACATGTGACTCAGAGAGGTCAAGAGACTTACCCATAGTCATTTAATAAGTTGAAAACCCAGGAAGGACTAAAGTTTTCTGATATTTCTCTACTTGTCAAGCTTGTGAGTTATCATGGACACTTGTATGAAGGAAGACCGTACCTGCCTATCTGTCCTACCGTCCACTTTCTGCTCTTATCGTGGCCTTCTCTGGATGACCAGGCACCCCACAACCTAGGCTCCCTCGCCTTCTATCTCCTGGGAGATCTGGCCAGTTTGGGAGGGTTGGGGGTGGCACGGGTGGAAAAATTTGAGAGCAGGAGTTGTCGAGAAACATTTCTTCTCCCCTGTTTCCTTCGGCATCTCCACCAGTGACCAAGCCTCCTCTGGCCCCAGCACCCATCGGACAGTCTCCACTGTGACTCTGACTTCTACCAGATGACCCGGCAACATCTGGAAACATCAGCTTCTCCAACCCAAGGAGTCACAGCTGCTTACTGCTCTGCTTAATCTCCGGGTTGCCTCACTGTCCCCATTTGGCTTCTCTGCTCTTCTAGCATCAGTATGTCAATCCCCTGTATTAAATTATCTGTTTGTCAAGACCTGGACTGTTCTCTCTTTTCTTGGCTGCACCCTGACTGCTAGAGTGGGACCATCATTCTGTGTGCTGCTGCACATGTTAGTGACACAATACATGTTCGTCATAGTGAAGCAAACAAGTGGACACATTTTCCTGAGACACTTTCCTGATGGTAACTAAACAGTGGTGAATCCTTCCCTTTGATCTCATCTGTCAGCAGTGACTCAATCATGGAAGACCTGGTTCTTGGTGCCCGTGGGTGTGTATATTTTAGTTGCAACAGAATGAGCCCTAATGCCATGCCATTGGTTTTCCAAAGTTGCTTTGGTAATGACTACACTTGGCCTTCCTGGTAGTTGTGACCTATAGTCCTGTTTACCCCTGTTCTTGGCCTCCACACAAGGATTCCCATCAGGGCTCCATCTGAGATGGTGTCCAGGATTGGGACAGCTGCCCACCAGCGCTGGATTTGAGACCACCAGCTTGTTTTTCCAAACATTAATATCTCAGTGATCTCCAAACATATTTTCTGTCCCGGAATATTTTCCAAGTTTTGTAAGAATGTCTCAAAAGCTTTTTTCTTTTAAAGGCATAAGGTTAGCCTAAGAGGATGGGCAAGGGTAATACAGATTTTAACTTGGAAGTCTAGTGTTTAAAACTTTAACCAAAAAATTATTTTCCCTTAAAAAACAAACTTCTTGCCGGGACCGGTTTGGCTCAGTGGATAGAGCGTCGGCCTGCAGACTGAAAGGTCCCGGGTTCGATTCCGGGCAAGGGCATGTACCTTGGTTGCGGGCACGTCCTCCAGTGGGGGCTGTGCAAGAGGCAGCTGATCGATGATTCTCTCTCATCGATGTTTCTAACTTTCTATCCCTCTCTCTTCCTCTCTGTGAAAAATCAAAAAAAAAAAATATTAAAAAACAACCTTCTTTACATATTTAAGTAATTCATTTGGGAGAAATTATCACTTAGCCATCCCTTGGCAGTTTCAGTTCAAAATGCTTTGAAACTAGTCAACTACAAAGCCTCAAATGTTTTTTCTTTGAAAGTTCAATTTAACCTTCTCTACCATGGAGATGAGAAAAGTGACAACTCACTCTAAAGATTCTCCCCTTTGTTTCTTTGTCTTTCTTTTGCAGGCCATGTGTTTATACCATGGGATCCCCCATAAACAACAGGGCCTTCTTTCCGTGCCAGGAGCCCCCCGTTGCCATGTCAACATGGCAGGCCACAGTCCGAGCAGCTGCATCTTTTGTTGTCTTAATGAGTGGGGAAAATTCTGCCAAGCCAACACAGCTTCGGGAAGGTACTGTACATGTGTTCTGCGCTTCTTTCTGGGTTGCACACATGCTGGACCCAGGAACCCAAGACGGGCTGTTTTTTGCAACTTTAAAGAGCCCCTTTATTAGTTGGGTTGGAATGAACATGCTAGAAGACATCCTGCCAGAGCAAACAGCAGGGAGGAGGTGGAGCCTGTGGGGAGCCTGGGCAGGCGTGCAGGGCTCTTCATGCCAGACTTATCAATTCCTAGAGTCTTTCAGCGGCTGCTTTGCCCTGGTGGTTTGTGGGCCAGAAGTGGGTGGTCTTGGTTGAAGACTTTCTGGGCAGGCAAGTGTGTCATGGAAACACCGTTACTTACAGTTGAGTTGTCTGTGGTTGGGTCGTGGGCCTGCACAGGGGTTCAGTGCACAGGGGGTTCATTACGCCGAGCGATAGCGCTGCTGTTGGCGGGCCCACCTGAGCTGTCCGAGTCCAGCCCTGTTCTAAACGCCTTTCCCTCAGGGCTCTGAACCAGAAGTGTAAAAGGCAGGAGAGTGCTACTGCAGATGAAGGTTCGGTCAGGGAATTCTTTGCTTATTGCAATAATTAACTCAATTGAGAGCCTAAGCATTTTGATGCCAGGTGAGATTTTTATAATTGTAACATTTCTTCATTTTAAATATGGTGTCTCTCACATACCTATAGAAACTTTAAATTTCACAGGAAATTAAAAGTAATAAAATTAAATAATTTTAGAGAAAGTGATTGCTAACATTTTGTTTCATTTCCCTCCAGTATTTAAAATCTACACAGATGGTACATATTGTCATTTCAAAATTGCCACATAGCACATAACAGTTTTTGTTTTGTTTTTTTAACTTATGGTGTATTTTGAATGTTTCCTAGGTCATTCAGTATTTTTTAAAACTATAATTTTAATGTCTGCGTAATATTTTATTGTATGAATATTTCATATTTTAACATTTTTGTATTATTAGACATTTTTATTATTTCCAGGTTTTTTCCCTGTTATAAAGTTGCATTAAATTCCTGAGGAGGCATTCGGTATAAAATTAGAATTACTGAGTCAAAAGTTTTCAGCATGGAGAAGGCTGTTGGTACATATTTCAAGTTGCTTCCCAGAGAGGCTGTGCCAATTTACAGTTGTGCCAATAGTACATTTACACACCCATCAGTAGTTATGGGATCCCCATTTCCCAGGAATTTCACCAATTTTCTAGGCAAGAAAAGGTCTGTCTTTAACATAGATTACTTCGATTATCAATGGGGTTTTACATGTCCTTATATTTTTCTTAACCATCTTCATTTCCTGACTTTTTATTTCCGTGGCCCATTTTTACAGTGAGGCTTCAATGAGATTTTCAAAAGTTTGTTTTGTCTTTTAATTTGATTGGCTCTTTAAAATATAAAAATATTTATCTTATCGTATTTGCCCCAGTACTTGTCCCAGTTTTAATATGCCTTTTAATTTTATACTGTGTATCTGATCAATTGGAGATTTTAATTTTTATTTAGTGAAAATTATTATTCTTCTTTGAATAATAATTATTATTCTTTGAAGGTCTTTCTTCATTTGATCTGAGATTCATCTGTTTTGTTTTAATATTTGTATTCAATTTAAAATTTTATTACGTCTTTAATCTGTTTGTAGTTTATTCTAGTGAGGATTGTGAAATGAGGATTACATTTTTTTTTTTCAAATAGGAAACAAGTTGCTCTAAGATAATTTATTGAATCTTTTCTAACTTGTGATGTCTCATTTATCATAAACTAGATTTAACACAAACTAGAGTCTTCGATGATAATTTACTTGATTCTCAAAGTGAAAATAACACAAATAATACATTTAAAAAAAAGATAAGTCACATTTATATGGTTCATTTACAAATGAACAAAGGATAAAAAATTGCAATAAAATTTCCTTTTTACCCTTAATTCCAAGCTACCCAGTAACCCTGCCCCCAAGGTAACCAAAGTCACCAGTTTCCTTTATTTAAGATGTTTTTTCCATTAGTTGCACAGACCAGAACATGCTGCACATATGTTTGTTTTGTACCTCACCCTTTAGAATAAAATTGTTTTACAAGTAATTTCATATCTGAGCATTAAGAGCTTTCTCGTTATTTTTATGACTATAAAATATTTCATAAATGGATCTTTTACACTTTAGTGAACCAATAGCTCTTGACTTCACTCCATCAAATAAGGAACTACACTGAGTGGCCAGGTTATTATGATTTCTGAACACACAATAATCTGGCTACTCAGTGTACTTCTCTTGAGTACCTCATTTATTTGATATCAAAGATATTATAAATGGTTTTCCCCTTTGCACTGGCTGATAGAAAGCTCAGGGCAAATAGGTAATTGATCTTCAGCAAAAGACTAGAATACTTTTGGTACCCATTTGAGATACAAATACACTGAGAGGCCAGATTATTGTGCGTTCAGAGATCATAATAATCTGGCCACTCAGTGTAAATGGGCATTTACTTCTATCATCTTCTCTCACTCACATCCCCCAGTTTTAGTGAATACAGTTGGGATTTATAACTCATATCAGCTATCTATATTTTTTAAAATACATTTTTCTTGATTTCAGAGAGAGGGAGGGAGAGAGAGAGAGATAAAAACATCAATGATGAGAGAATCATTGATCGGCTGCCTCCTATTAGGGATCCAGTCCTCAACCTGGGCATTTGCCTTGACCAGGAATTAAACCATGACCTCCTGATTCATAGGTTGATGCTCAACCACTGAGACACACTGGACAGGCTTGTCTCTATATTTTGTTTTTTTATTATATATTCTCTTCTAGGAGTTACAATTATTGTTTCTTTTACATTTTCATCTAGTCAAATCATATTTGTAATAAGTATTTATACTGTCTTTATCCTTGAGCTTTTATTTATTTATTTATTTTTAACAGAGGTCAGCTTTTATTGACTGTGTTACAAAAGAGCCAGTTTAGTCAAAAAGACCAAAGCCCATGTCGTCATCAGACTCCTCAGATTCTTCTTTCTTTGCTTCCACTTTCTTCTCCTCAGCTGGGGCCGCAGCGGTGGAGGCGGCAGCACCTCCTGCTGGTGCAGCACTAGCTGCCGGGGCAGGTCCACCAGCCCCTGCATTGCAGGTGAGACTCCCAATGTTGACATTGGCCAGAGCCTTTGCAAACAAGCCCGGCCAGAAAGGCTCAACATTTACACCAACTGCTTTGATGAGGGTATTGATCTTATCCTCCGTCACCATCACTGTCACTTCATCCTCATGCAGGATGAGGGCCAAGCAGATGCAGGCGAGCTCCGACATGGAGGCCATGGCGAGCGCTGCCAGGAGCGGTGCTAGTCGCCGGATGAAGTGAGGGCCTCACCCCAACGCGGCCTTAGCTTCCTCGGAAGAACCGAGCACCTTTATGCTTGAGCTTTTAAATTTGAATAATTTCTCAGGCTCTTGGAAAATTGTTTCAATATTTGTTTTCTAGAAGGGTAGATGTGTGGTATATTTTATGAGCCATCTCATATTTAGGTTGGCTTTTAGTTCTGTTCACTTATGAACAATCCTTGGCTAGGTATAAAATTCTTAGGACTTCTTTTCTCTCTTAACTAAAAACATTTTCATTATCATGTCTTACTTAGCAAATCTGATGTCAATTTTTAAAAAGTTCCTTGAAAGTCTGATTTCCCTGCCTAGAGGCTCATAGAATTATTTTTATTTATGTAATTTACAGCTTTCTAGAAAGAAGCTAGTTATGAGTACCTTTGGCTTTAATTAACTATTAAAGTACCAGAGGACCAGTGCACAAAATTTGTGCACAGGTAAGGTCCCTAGGCCTGGCTGGCAATCAGGGCTGATCAGTGCCAATCTGTGTAGTGACCAGTGGAGTGATTGGGGGGGGCGGGGGCAGGTCCCTCTCACTCACCTTGGCTGGCCTGATGCCGCCTGCTCGCTGACTTTGCCCCCCACTGCCACCACCAGTTGGGGCCTGTAGGCTGGGGCAGCTCTTGCGTTGAGCGTTTGCTTCCTGGTGGTCGGTGCACGTCACAGTGACCAGTTGTTCCGCTGTTTGGTAGATTTGCCTATTAGAGTTTTATATAGATAATTTGTGTGTAATAAAATGTATACAATATGTCTTGTTTAATGGAGTTTGAAAAATACACAGTTTACTTAATCAGCACTCCTATGAAGGTGTAGAACATTTCTTTACCCTAGGCCTCCCCTTACTCCCATCTCTCCTTAAGTCTTTCTTCCAAACCCCACTCCTGTCAACCACTGACCCGATTTCCATGTTTGTAGATTATTTTTGCCTCTGCCAAAGATTCACGTAAATGGAGCCATTCCACGTGTACTCTTTTGTGTCTGGCTTCATTTGCTCAGCATAATGTTTGGCAAAGCCACCCATTTTATGTGAGTGTTAATACTTTGTTATTTCTTAAAATCAGTGAATCGTAGTCCATTATATGAATAAACCAGTTTGTTTATCTTCTCACCTGTTTATGGACGTTTGAATTGTTTTTAGCCATCATGATAAATAATGCTATGCACATGTGTGTACAAGTCTTTTTGAAGATATAGGTTTTCATTTCTCTTGGATAAATACCTAAGAGTGGAATTGCTGGATCCTATAAATGCATGTTTAACTTTGTAAGTATCTGCCAAACTATTTCCAAAGTGATTGTATCATTTTTTATTCTACCAGTAATGTATCAGAACCTCCCCCCGCCACTCCACACCATTGCTGGACGTCCTTGCAAACACTGGGATTGCCAGCTTCCAACTAGTGTCTGGTGCTAGCTTGTTGTGGTTTTAATTTGCCTTTCTCTGAGAATGAATGATCATGAGCAACTTTTCATACTTATTGTTAATTCTTTTTTTAAAAATATATTTTATTGATTTTGTACAGAGAGGAAAGGAGAGAGATACAGAGTTAGAAACATCGATGAGAAAGAGTCATCGATCAGCTGTCTCTTGCACACCCCCTACTGGGGATATGCTCGCAACCAAGGTACGTGCCCTTGACCGGAATCG